TTATTATTTTTAGAATCATCTTTTTTATTGTTTTAATGTTTATACATGTGTGTGTATGTGTGTGTGTGTGTGTGTGCCTGCACACTTGTGTGGATGCCCGTAGATGCCAGAAGAGTATATTAGATTCCCTGGAGCTATAGTTAGTTACAAGCGGTTGTGAACAACCCTGACAATTACAGAGTCATCTCTCCAGCCCACTTGAATAATCTTTAAAGCAAATAATTTTTGTGACCCAACTATTAAAGCATATTAATTAGATGTATTATATCATGAGGCCATGAATTAAACTTAAAAAATAGAGATTACAATAAGCCTGCATCTACTGTGAATTGAATGCTAGTCCTCTCTGAAACATACTGAAATCTAATTGTTACAGCAACTATACTATGAGGTGTGATCATTAGGAGGTGAAAAGACCGGAACTTCATAACAGAGAAGTTCATAATGCCTGCCATCGGCATGGTCCGCTCCCTCTTGCTCTCTCATTGCCCTTTCACCATCTGATGGCATAGCAAAATGGCCACATCAGATAACAGATTGTCTTCATCTCAGACTCTCCAGAACTGTGTCAAATCTCTGTTCTATATAAATTATGCAGTGCTACATACTATTAAAGACACACAAAAGGCCAGCATGGCGGCACATGCCTTTAGTCCCAGCACTTGGGAGGCAGAGGCAGACAAATCTCTGAGTTCAACGCCAGCCTGGACTACACAGTGAGTTCCAGGCTGGCTGGGACTACAGGGAACCCCATCTCAAAAATACACTCCCGCTCAAAAAAAAGAAGCACAAAAGATCCAAAAAAGCAGGCTTAGCCTTTATAAACATGGCTGATTTGACATCACTTCTAAAAATATCCAATCTCAGTTAGGCATGGTGGCACACGCCTTGATTCCCAGCACCTGTGAGGCAGAGGCAGGTGGAACTCTGTGAGTTCGAGCCCAGCCTGGTCTACACAGTGGTTCCAGGGCAGCTGGGGCTACAGGGAGACCCTGTCTCAAAAAGATCGAAAAAAAAAAAAAAAATCCAATCTCAAAATGTAAGAAAATATACTATCAAGATGGACATGGTAGCCCATACCTATAATCAAAGTAGAAAAGCCATTTGAAGCTAGCAAGGGCTACATAGGGAGACAAAAGTCTTTAACAAGACCCTGCACTCCACCACTAGAACCTTCAAATAAGCTCAAGTTTCAAAATAAACAGCATTAAAGATAAATACATGGACTGGGGTTAAAACTCAGTGGTAGATACTTATCATGTCTGAGGCCCTAGGTTTAATCCCCAGAATAGTAAAATAAAAAACCAAAACCAAACTATGCTCTGGAAAATTCTAATTTGGCTCTGTGTAAAGTAAGACTAACATAATAGCTTCACTGCTTACTTTTTCTGTTTTTTTTTTTTTCTTTTACAAAGCAAAACAAAAAAAATGATAAAGGGAGTTTCTGCTATATGTATTATAGCCCAGATTGGCCTTGAACTCAAGAGTCTCCTTACTCAGCCTCCAAAATGCTGGGATTACAGGCATGAGCCACCACTCCCAGCCTGACTGCCATGTTTTATAAAGATTTTGGGTTTTGCTGTTTTGTTTCATTTTCTTTCTTTTTTATATTTTGTCATTTATGTGTGAGTGTTTTGCCTGCATGTGTATAAGTGAGCTATCTTCATACAGTGACTGAGGAGACCAGAAAAGGGTGTTAGATTACCTGAACCTGGAATTATGAGAAGTTGTTAGTCACCATGTGGGTGCTGGGAACCAAACCTGGGTCCTCTGCAAGAGCAGCAAGCACTCTTAACCACTGAGCCATGTCTCCAGCCCCATTTACTGCTATTTTGAAAGGCCTACTTATGAGTATGCCCTTTGGGCTAGGTCTGAGAACTTGGTTTGGAAATAGTTTCCAACAATTCAACTGACAAGATGGCTCACTGTGCCTAAAATGTTTGTATAAGCAATATAGTTTATGCTGAACTGCTTTCCTTCTGATAGTTGGGAACAGCACTATGTGTCAGGCAGAAGGTGCTAAATCCAGGGACTAATCAAAATGGTGGTCTTCAGAACTTCCACCACAGACTTTTAGTCTCTGCCACTACTAACACTGAGAGACCTTAAATAGAAGTTAAAAAAAGATCTCTAGAGTAGTTTCTCAGTGATTAAAACAAATGAAGAATTAAGGATATAGTTCAGTGGTAGACCACTTGCTGGGCATGGGTGAGGCCCAATACAAGCGAAAAAAAACAAAGAACAGGACTGGGATCTGGGATATAAACAAACACATAAGATTCCATGTAGTTCAGTTTCTCTTTTTCCTTAATTTCTTATGTTTTGTTTTTTTTTTTAATAGGATCTCACTATGTAGTCCAGACTGGCTTCAACTTGGAATACTCCAGACTTGGCTTCCCAAGTTGTTAGGATTACAAGTGTGCACCACTAAGACCAATTCAAGTTTCTAAAATGTGCTTATATAGAGTTTAAAACAGTTAAAGAAAGCCTAAGACCTAGTATATAAGGGTAACATCTGGGGGCTGGAGAGATGGCTCAGCAGTTAAGAAAATAAAAATAACAAATAAAAATACTTAAAAAATAAAATATCTATAATATAAACAATTTTATACCTAGTATAAGTCATCATTAACCTTCAAAAATGAGTAATGCTCCAACAACATAATCTAGTCACAAGCTCAAAATATTAGTTACAGTTTTAAAAATATTGGATTTAGTGTCTCATTTTTTGTGACACAATTTTTCTATATAAGTAGCACAGACCAGCCATTGTCTATATAAGACAATGATAGTCAGCAACCAAACATGGACTTCTAAACCTCTCATTAGTTACAATGATACTCTAGATGCTAGAAGGATGTTAAATAACCTAAAGTGTGCTTGCTGTGCAATCATGAGGACTAGATTTTTGATCCCAGCTCCCAAGCAACAAGCCAGTGTCCCAACACACTTGTAAATCCTCACTCTGAGGTGGAGACAGGAGTACCACTTTCAGACGGGTGTACCACTTTGCAGGCTTTCAGCTTAGCTGACGTTAAGTGTGAGCAGCAGGTTCAAGGAAAGACCCTGACTCAAAGGAACGGGCAAAGTACAACAGAGGACACTTCTGGCCTCTGTGCATGCACAAAGGCGTGCACACAACAGACAGACGGGGACACACACACACACACACACACACACACACACACACAGAGTTAAAAGAGAGCTGTTGTTTTGGCCCAGATAACTGGCAAAGGAAAAAATTAAAAATAAAAAAAAAAGGTTTCCCTCCAATTGTATAACCTGATGATCTCAACTACCTGAGCCAAACATGAACTCTTAATTCCTGAGCGCCAACACTGCAAATCTAACAGTACTAAATAAAACTGCACACTCCCTTATAAAATTAATACCTTTTATGGTTTTCTGTGGTTTGGAGGATTTCTTCTCCTTTGAATTCTGACTTTTAGTAGGTTTTTGTTTTCTTTTTTCTTCTTCAGCAAGAACTTTCTGAAGCAAATGAGCAAAAAAATCGAAGTCAAAAGGGCGTTTTTCCTCTGTTTAAAAAAAAAGGAAAAAATTTTTTTTAAAAAGAACTTCTTAATTTTTAAAATATTATAATATCAAAAGCAAAGAGACTGAGTTACCAGCAGGAGAATGAATAAACAAGTATGTAAGACCACCATCTAGCAAAAAACAAAAACAAAAGCATGGGGGGGGGCTATGAATGTAAAAAGCGCTTATCTAGCATGCACAGGACCCTGGATTCAAGCCCCAGCACCAAAAAAATAAAGTTAAATATTAGGTTGGTACAAAAGAAATTGCTGTTTTGGACAGTGAATTCTATACCTTTTGTTTTGTTTTTTTGGTTGGTTATGTTTTTTAGGGATTTTTTGTTGTTGTTTTGGTTTTTATGTTTTGGTTTTTGTTTTGATACAGACTGTTCCTGTAGCCCCAGCTGGCCTGGAACTTATTATGTAAACCTGGCTGGCCTTGATCTTACAGAGCTCCTCCTGCCTCTGCTTCCCAAGAGCTGGGATTAAAGGCATGCACCAACAAGCCCAGCATGGGATTAAATGAACTCTTTCTTATAAATATTTATTATTTATATTTTTGTGTATATGAGTGTAATACCTGCATGCAGGTAGGGGCACCTGAGTTCTGCAATGCCTATGGAGGTCAGAAGAGGGCGTCAGATCCCTGGAACTGGAGTTATGAATGGCTGTTAGCCACTATGTAAGTGCTGGAAACCGAACTTGGATCTTCCTGATGCTCTTAACCTCTGAGCCATCGCTCCAGCCCCAGGATTCAATGAACTCTTGAAAACATTTTCTGTTTCTTCCTAGTATGGAAGCATTTCCCCTGAAAAAAGTTGCTAAGGTGCTTGAAGAAGTGGAAGGAGGTCAGGTGAATAGGGTAGATGAGGCAAAACCTCATAGCCCAACTTGTTCAACTTTTGAGCACTGTTTATATGATATCCAATCAAGCTTTGTTATGGAAGAGAATCCGGCCCTTTCTGTTAACCAATGCCAGGTGCAAGAGCTGCAGTTCTGTGTGACTCATCAATATGTTGAGCACACTTCTCCCACAGAATAGTCTCAGTGGAATTCAGAAAGCTACTGTAGGTCAGACTGGCAGTAGGCCACAAAACAGAGACCACAGCTTTTTGCTGTTGTTGCAACTGCAAATTTGGCTTTGGGAAATGTTCTGGAACAACTTCTTGGTCCAACCACGGAGGTGATCATTGCTAACTATCCTACACAATCCACTTTTTATCACATAGTACAATTCAATAGAGAAACTTTTCATTTTTGTGTACAGAATTAGCGAATATGACGTTCAATGACAAGAATTTAAAAAAAAATTTTGGTCAGCTTGTGAAGGATCCACTTATTGAGCCTTTTCAAGCCTTTCTAGTTTGCTTCAAAAGCCAAATGACTATTGAATGGTCCATGATAGATTCTAAGGCAACTTCTTGTGATCCATAAGAGGATCAGCTAGCTTCAATGATTGCTCTCAATTGGTTTTTGTCAACGTACAATGTTCAGCCACTATACCCCTGTTGTCAAGGTTTTCCTCTTGCATGCAAAACTAACTTACTTTCTTTCTTTCTTTCTTTTTCTTTCTTTCTTTCTTTCTTTCTTTCTTTCCTTCCTTTCTTCCTTTCCTTCTTCCTTCCTTCCTTCCTTTCTTTTTTGTCACGGTCTTTTAGCCTAGTCTGGCTTGAGACTCTGGTTACTGAAGACAACTTTACCTTCTGATCCTCCTCCCACAGAAATCCGCCTGCCTCTGCCTCCCAAGTGCTAGGATCAAAGGGGTGCACCATCATGCCTGGCATGAATATTTTCTGATAATAATATATTAAGCATGATGGAAAGTTTCTCCAATTTTGAAATGGAAAAGTTCCTCTCTTTACAATACTCCAGATTTTCCAGGAGCCATTCCTGGAAGCACTTTCCCTGAAGACACAATACAAAATTAAGCATCAGACCACTATCTACCAGTGTCCACTCACATGCTACACACTACATATTCTCTGTATCTACAAACCGATATTCCCCCCTAAAATCAGCCCTGTGGCTAATTAAGAAATTTTGTTCAGTAGTAATTAAAATTAGCCCTGCAGCTAACTTTGTGGCTAAAGGAGCACTGGTATATGTATTACTCATTGTTGATTACTACTATATGTTAATGCAAAATATGTATCTTCCAAAAAACACAAGAGCTACTTTAAATAGCAAGTTTATTTTTCTTTACAGATCTCTTGAAGTCTTTCTGTACACTTAACAAAGAATGTTAATTTTAATGAAGATATTTAGAAGCTAAACGTTTCCTACCATTCTTCCAAATCAGGTCTAAATTCAAATGTTATCTCTTCAAATACCTCACTGAGGATCAATATAAACAAGTCCTTTTTCTTCCTCGTTAGAACTCAATTACCACCTGGAACCACTACGCTTATCCACCTACCCCCAACCATTTAAAGTAAAGGCTCTCCAAGCAGATTCTCAACTGCCCTATTCACCACCATCTCAACAGCAACCAGAATACAGCAGGTAACTGGTGTTGCAAACTTCCAAAGGAGTCATCTATAGTATTCTACTTCCATAAACAATCCCTTGAACATAGTTCCTTGACAATATAAAACCACTTAGACGGCCAGTGAGATGGGTCAGAGGGTTTATTCCAAGCCTGCTGCCAAGTCTGACAACCTGAGTTTGAATAAGGGGAATAAGAAAACCAACTTCTACAAGTTGTCCTCTGACTTCTACACACACATTATAGCATGGGCACTCCTACACACATTTATATACACATATAAAAAATAAAATTTTAACAAAAATTTTAAAAAGTACTTAGAAATTTTATTGTCAGTTACTCTGTAAAATCTTAGACTACTACTTACCTACTTCTGAATATTTTGGCTAATTCTTTGCCTATAGATTTGTAGCAATTACCAAACATGTACTATCAAGTAAACATGCCAAGCATAGTGGTCCACACCTAAATGAATCCCAGCACTTTGGAGGTTGAGGCAGAAGGGTCTAAAGTTTCAGGGCTAGACTGGGATATAGAATAAGATCATATCTTAAAATTAAAATGGAAGAGAAATTTTTCCATTACTCTTCTTAGGCAATGTAAGGATATATCTAAAACACTCTAGAACCAAAGACAAAGCATCGGTCATTTTTTTAACTTCCACAAATGGTACTTTGTAAGAGTTCTTTAATACTTACGGAATGCTTTGTCTATTCTCCATCCATTTGTTTTTTCTTCACGTTTAAATTTATTCTGTCAACAACAAAAAGATCTATAGTAATTTTCTGCTATTAAACAAGACTCTTTTTCAATTAGTAAGCATTAATATGAAGCACTATTCTCTATTAACTGATATATCTTTGCCAATAGGCAAGTTATGTAAAGCTTTTGTTTTTTAAAAAATGAGGATAAGGAGCTGGAGAGATGGCTCCGCAGGTAAATGCACTTGCTAAGTCTAACAACCTCAGTTCAATCCTCGGAACCCACATAGTAGGAAAGAACTGTCGAAAGGTGTCCTCTGACTTCTACAGGTGTGCACAAGACACACACATACACATATACATACACAATAAATAGATAAATGTAATAAAAAAAATTTTAGTGAGGATGAAAGAGTCACACAGTTTCCAGATTCTCTTTATTATCAACAGCAGGCATCAGCAAGGAAAGGTGGATTTACAGTACCCAAAAAAAGTAACAGGCCAGCAATATGGCTCAGCAAATAAAGATGCTTGCACCCTGACAATCTAAATTCAATCCTCAGAGCCCATGTAAAAGTGGAGAGAACCAACCCCATGAGTTGTCCTATTACTTCCATACACACACTGTGGTATGAGCACATCCACATACATACACACACACACACACACACACACACACACACACACACACACACAAAATAGTTGACTAACACAGAAACAGATCAAATCTACAGTCAATTAAGCTAACACTAATTTTATACAACCTAAAAGCATTCCAAAGTGTTTTAAGTATAATAGAAGAGTCTTACAGAAATAGCTAGACTAAAAGTTGAAGCAAGCCAAGTTTATCTTGGTTATATATGGTTTCATACACACACACACACACACACACACACACACACACACACACACAAAATAGGTATATTACATATATAAGATTCTTTTTTAAGAAAGGAACTAATATAGTCCTATGTGGCCTCCAGCTCACTAAACAACCTAAAGATAACCTTGAACTCCCTATCTTCTGTCTCTACCTCTTGAGTATTGGGACTACAGGCATTTTACAGTGTACTCAGGTTCTTGTGATTCCAAAGCAAAGGCATTACCAACTAAGTCCATCTTCCCAGAATTGCTATTTTTGTTTCTGTTTTTCTCAAATTTGAGACATATAACCTTATACTCCTGATCCTCCTACCTCTACTTCTTGAGTGCCAGGATCATAGGAATGTCTGGCTTATTACGAAGATTTTTAAAAGATGAAGCTGTAGAGATGGCTCAGCAGTTGAGAGCACTGGCTGCTCTTGCAGAGGACCCAGGTTCAATTCCCAGCACTCATGTGGTGGCTAACAACTGTCCATGCTATACCTCCAGGTGATCCAACACCCTCTTTTGACCTCCCAGGGCATTGCACAACATGGGTACACTTACACACGTGCGCACAATACACTCAAGACACATAAAATAAAATTAAAAAATAGCTGGGTGTGGTGGCTCATGCCTTTAATCCCAGCACTCGGGAGGCAGAGGCAGGCGGATCTCCGTGAGTTCAAGGCCAGCCTGGTCTACATAGTGAGTTCCAGGACAACTGGGGCTACAGGGAGACCCTGTCTCAAAAAGACA